CTTTTTTTTTTTTTTTTTTTGAGACGGAGTTTTGCTCTTGTCACCCAGGCTGGAGTGCAATGGCGCGGTCTCAGCTCACCGCAATCTCTGCCTCCCGAGTTCAAGAGATTCTCCTGCCTCAGCCTCTCGAGTAGCTGGGATCACAGGCACCCGCCCCTACACCGGCTAATGTTTTGTATTTTAGTAGAGATGGAGTTTCATCATGTTGGCCAGGATAGTCTCAATCTCCTGACCTTGTGATCTGCCCACCTCAGCCTCCCAAAGTGCTGGGACTACAGACATGAGCCACTATGCCCGGCCCTGAGGCATTTTTTTTTTTTTTTAGATTCTTTAAAACATTTTTAAAAATTGGAGTGCCTTTTAATAATACAGTTTCCTTTGTCCTACTTCCAAAGACTATGGTTCAGTAACCTGTGGGTCCCAAGAATCAGTGTTTTTAAAAAAACTACACAGTTGATTCTAATGTAAATTTGGAGAACAGTGACCTAAATCAATGAGGATTATGCCTGCTTTTTTTCTTCTTAATGGAGATATAGCAGACTACATCATTAAAAAAAAACTCAAACAAATTGAGACCTAAGTTCTGATATCAGTCCTGCAATGGCCTAAGTCATATAACATTTTTGACCCTCTGTTTCTTTGTGTATATAATGGACTTTAAGGATTGTCTATCTACGAACTATCATTCTACGAACATGTCAGTTGTGGGAGATAAAGTAACAAATGATGATCAGAATTCATGGATAGAATAATTGGCTGGAAAAAGAACAGCAATAAATTGGTTAAAAAAAGTGAAGAACTGAGATAAATGGTGAAAACAGCCAGTCGAGTTTATTTATAGGTGGTTAACTGGACTATATATGACTATATATTAAGAATAGTTGGGCATTAAAAAGGGTAAATAACGGTACGCAGATTGGTGGCACATAGTTGGCTAAGTGTCGCTAATAAGTTTGAAAGAACAGCTGCAGACATGTCACCGTCCTTTTGTCTCAGTGAGGCGATACTGGCTTTATACCCAAAGGAAAATAGAAAATGAAACTGTTGGTTTCATGAGATTAGGTATTGGAAAGGCCAATCCATAGGCTTTCAGGTCAATGGTCTTCTCTGGGATTTGAGAAATTGACTGGTCCTCTGTCATATAGATTTATCAATTTCTCCCCCATCTTGCTTATTAACTTGGTGAAACTGACATATATGGTTTATTGTTTCCCATCTCTGGAGAGGACAGATCCTCAGGTAGAAAGGAACTGTAAAGTGCGTTCATCACCTTCCTGCCTCTCATTTCTCTCTGCCCATATTAATGAAAGAAAATTGAACGCGGCTTTCCAAGGTATGTCAAGAAGAACTGCAGATTAAGTAACATTGTCATATTATTTGTTTCAATTAGAGAGGTTTTATTCAATCCTAAAAAATATTTTTTTCTATTTCTTTGTTAGGAAATTGAGCATTGCCTACCCCTTCCCTCCAATGCCACCTCCACTACTCCTGCCCCAAATACGTATAATACCACTAGGCAAGCTTTTTCTTTTTTGGGTTTCTCTCACACTTGGGTTTTGTACCTGTGAACTGCTTTTATTTATTTTTTTTACTTTGTGTTTATTTCCTTCAAACCTATCTTGGTTACTCTTCTCCTTTAGGAGTGATAATGTTAAATCATAAAAGCTGATTGCTGAAGGTTAGCAGCTGATCGAGTTTAAAGTAGGTCCCCTGAGTGTTGGCCTTGCCAATGTCTAGATCAGAGGTGTATTTGTGCCTCTTCCTAGCATGGGCATCCACAGCTGTTATCGCATTCTCATCTGAGTCTACAGCTAAAAGTTGCTAATAACCAGAAGTTAAAGTATCAGTGAGAAGTAGTTTGGGACAGTGTGGGAATGTGGGTTCCCTTACCTTTCACCCCAGTCCTGTAGGTGTGCTGAACATATTTCAGGCCTGACACAATA